TTTTTTTTTTTTTTTTTTTTTTTTTAATTTGGAAACTTTCGGAGATTCATAAGAAGAAGCTTCCACTAGTAATCAAAGATACAAAAAGGACAAACAACTAAAAAGGAATAATTAAAAAAAAATGGTTAGAAAGAGAGCTCCATTAAAAAGTACCACAGTTTTTCTCTCCAAAATCATTCACAGAAAAGGGAAGTATTTCTGTCCAACCAAAATTTCAAAAGACGAGCTCTTATAGCATCTAGAGAATTCACCTTTTTTCTCCCCTTCAAAAGGTACAGGGCACACGACTTGTTCCTAGGCTTATTTGATTATTTCCAGCACCACAAGCTCAAAAGCTTTGGACGGTTTACTACAATAAAGAAGTGTGGGGTAGTAGAAAAACCTGATATCCCCTCATACCCACTCAATTTTTAGAAAGAAAAAAAAGGAAGGTAAAGTCTTACCTTCTCAAACGGCAAACTTCTTGATAAAAAATCAGTAAGGATCGAAATAAACTAACTCTATTAATAAACATCTCTCGCTAAAGAAAACTCTTCTACCACTCTTTATCTATTAACTAATGGATCTTTAGTATCTTAATAGTATTTCTGTAATCTAACTCTAATGGTATAAACATGTAACAGTCATGCCCACTATTAGTAAATATTGTCCGCTTTAGCCTGTTACGTATCGTCGTCGGCCTCACAGTTTTAAAACGGTCTATTAGAGAGAGGTTTCCACACCCTTATAAAAAATGATTCATTCCCCTCTCCAACCGATGTGGAATCTCACAAAACATTACCAACCCCAAGAACAAATCTCATCTTCAAGGTGTAATCGAACAAAAGGCACTCTCAAAATAGATTAAAAAAATTGTAGATGGAGCATAAAGTCAACTAGCCCACAAAGAGAAATGTTAAGATGAGCGATAAGCTTTGGCTAAATGAAAGAAACTTACCGGATCAGGCAGAATCTCTGACTTTTGTCTACCGTCGCCTTCACAGATCCAGCTGCCATCAGCACTCACAGAAACAAAACCTGAAAGATTTTTTACCAATACCACCACTGCTTCCCTGTATGAATTTACATCAATGAAAGCATAAGCAATGATGGCAAAAAGAAAAGGCCAGAATTAACAAACATCATGCAATATGTTTCTAAGCGAGTTGACATTTAATATACTGTTCTCAGCATTAAAGAAGAATACCAAATGTGACAAGTGCAATGGTAGCAGCCACTGTTCTATTTTTCCACTCAAATTAGTATTACACTTAGTATCCCTAAAATTGATACATCATGCCACGTTTAGACGTAAAATTGATTTTCTCCCCAAAAAAAAACAAAGAATTGAGTAATGTTCTTGCCCCTCATGCTCTCTCATTCGTCTCCCCTCTCGTTACCCTCATTAGTCTCCCTCCCTGTTCTAGAGTCAGTTACAAATTACTTCTCTACGTGCATCGTTCTTTTAGCTGAAGTAGCATTGCGGTGTATACATATTCATAACCTCACTCTCTGTAAATTATGAGAGCGAACTAAGAAATTGTACAAATCTCAAATTCTCGATCAAGATCGTTAAAAGATAACAAATAAGATTTGGTAAGTGAGAAATCTACCCTTTGGTTACAAGCACCATATCAATACTCTGTCGCAAGCCAGTGTCAGCATCTGGAATTCGAAGTCCCACAAAAATCTTTCCACTATAAATCTTTTCTAATCTGCCAAAATTAAAATTAAAAACACAAAAATCAGCATTAGATCACAACCTTCTTCCTGAGCAAAGCAGAAATGCTTTGATGAGAATATACCTCGAAGCAACGGCGAATAGGGCATTAGAATCAGAGGTCTCGATCTCCAATTCATCTCTTTGACCAAAGAATCGTCTGAGCAATCTAAACGCTATGAAACCACAGAGTATCTCAAAAAACATGACGGCGCCCTCAACGATTATGCACAGCGAAAACTTGCTCGATCGAAGGAATTAGAAAGGGTATGTGGATTCTAATTTTTGCGAAGGCCGAGTAGGAGTTGGTTCAGGAGAAGAAGGAATGAAGAATTTGCATTTGCTCTCTATGAAATTTCTCGATCATCCTGACTCGACCTTACCCAGTTTTCAATCACTATACAACATCTCTTCAATCTCTAAGCTTAGACTTTATACTTAAATTAGTTTAACTTTCAATTTCGTATTTAACTTTAAATTTCCATTCATAGTATAAGTGTTAAATTTGTGTTTAAAAAAAAAAAAAACTTTAAAATTTTAAAAATTAAATTTATATTTTTTTTTTCTATAGACCAAATATACATAAACATTCAAATTATAATTAAGTAAAGTGATCTAAATTATAAAAATGTCTGAAGGATGGCTGGCATGGCGAGACTATAAATTTAAGTTTGTTTGCAGTTATATGTAGTTTAGAATCATTTACTCCCCAGGCAAGACATTTAACGCGTTAGCTACAGTATTGTACGGGTCGATACGCACAGCACCTAGTATCCATCGTTTACGGGTAAGACTACTAGGTTATCTAACCTCATTCACTCCCCTAGCTTTCGTCTCTCAGTGGCAGTGTCGGCCCAGTAGAATGCTTTCGCCCTTGGTGTTCTTTCTAATCTCTATGCATTTCACTACTCCACCGAAAATTTCCTTTGTCCCTACCGTTCTCCAGCTTGGTAGTTTCCACTGAAGTTGACCAATCTTACTTATGGAGTGACTCAAATTTCAAACAAGTATTTTTGTCTTAAATATGAGGTAATCTGAAAAAAAATTTCACCTATACTAATCTCCTATCATTTGGTATCAGAGCTTTCCCTTAGGTTGGTTCATTATCACATTTTGCTGAATATTTAACTGTGAGTTAATGTTAAAATAAATTTAATTGATATAATTACCATTACTAATAAGTTTAAATTATATAATTATAAGTAACTAATTACTAATTAAGATGCGGGAAGAATGATTAATCACTTGGATTAAAGCGGCTACCCTTTTCCTCTCTCATCCTCCTCACTCTCTCTCTTTCTCCTCTATCTCTCCGCCATGGCTCTGCAAGTCTGGGAGACGTTGAAGGAGGCAATCGTGGCATACACAGGCCTATCTCCGTCGACCTTCTTCACTGCCGTCGCTTTTGGCCTTGCCTTTTACTTTCTCATTTCCAGTTTATTCGCTCCCTCCGACAACAGAACCCACACTAGGGACTTGGGGGAGCAGCTCCAGCCTCTCCCTCCGCCTGTCCAAGTCGGTGAGATTTCCGAGGAGGAGTTGAAGCAATACGATGGTTCCGATTCTGAGAAGCCTCTGCTTATGGCTATCAAGGGCCAGATCTATGATGTTTCTCAGAGCAGGTCTGTTGAGGTTTTTTTTTTTTTTTTTTTTTCCAAAATTTTTTTCTCTGTTTTGAGTATTAGTGTTTGGATAATCGTGATTAGTTTTGATTCGGTTTCAGTTTGTTTTTGAGTCAACGTGTTTGTTGAATTCTGTGATGGTATGTGGAATGAGTTGTAGGTCAGCAGGTTTTAGGTTTAATTAATCTGATGCTTTGGTTTTTACCAATACAGCTCTACTTTCGTACAAATTTCTACTGTTTTCTGAAATTTGATCCTGCTGTATTGAACCGCTATCGAAGATTTTTAGGCTATTTCCAATTCGTTTTCTTTTCCTTGCTGTTCTCCATTGTCCATTTGATGCAAATTACTGTGAAATAAGAATTGATAGTTTTTGTACACTTTGTGCTTCTTTCTTGGTGGTCGATTTGATTTCGATAGATGTTGTGAATTCTTGTACTGAACTGCTTAGGCTCTTATCTTTTATAGTGTTCTATGCTTGTCAGATCATAGTTCTGAAAACCAACTAGGAAACATCTTCATTTTTGTTGTTTCTGTTCTTCAATCCAAACTTTTTATCACTATTATGGTGGTGCAGAAAACCTCTCCAAGTAGATTGATGAGTTTGAACATGTTCTTCTTCTGAATTTGAACTTTGCTGTTTCTTTTTTCCTTCTTATAACTGTAATTTTCTATGTATCTAGCTTTGAAAATATTTGTTTTCGACTGTTGCTTTTGCATTCAATCACAGTTTAAGGGCTATTCTGGGTGTGTTTGTAACGGGCCCGAGGCCAATTATCCTTTCATTTGTTGGGGAATGTTTATACGTGCTCATGATTTCAAAGAGAGAATAAGTTGAACAGAACACAATGTGCTAAAAAGCAGAAAGTTGCTTTTCCAAAAGCTTAATAAAAACAGGCCCTTGTTTCATGGATATTCAGTGGCTATCTGTTTCCATGGTGGTTTCTTTCTCATTATGTACGATTTACTATACTACACCGAGGCTGTAGAAGTGATTATCCGATTCGTTGCAGCGTCTTGGAGTACTGCATTTGTATAGTTCATTTTCATTTTCTGTATTTCTCTCAATCATGCCGTTTTGTTGTTTCAATTTATCTTCTAACCCATTCTTTCTTTTAGGATGTTCTATGGACCTGGGGGACCCTATGCCCTTTTTGCTGGAAAGGATGCAAGCAGAGCTCTTGCAAAAATGTCTTTTGAAGAGAAAGATCTGACTGGGGATATCTCTGGTCTCGGTCCGTTCGAACTTGACGCCTTGCAGGACTGGGAATACAAATTCATGAGCAAATACGTCAAAGTTGGGACAGTCAAGAAGCCAGTTGCCGAAGGTGGCGATGCTGCACCTGTCGTGGTCGAACCTGCAGAATCAAGCACTGCTGAAGTTAGCAAACCTGCTGAAGAAGAACGCCCCTCGGAATCTCGAGCTGATAAAGCTGAAGAAACCCCTGCTGCTGCCAATGTTAAATAAGATTTTGCATACCACACAGATGCCCCGTACCAACCGATATACGAGAAGAGAACAATGTACGTGTACTCATGTTTCAGTAATCTCGTTTCACAGATAAATCAAATCGAGTTATATGTAGGATGATGATGATGATATTATAGGTGTGGTAAAGACTTGATTTATTCTCTATTTTTGTTCAATAAACATCTTACAATAAGTTGATTACCAAAATTCCATTGCCATTGTAGCCACCATTATATTTGTTAGGAATTCTTGGATGTTGGAGAGATTACCAAAACGAGCATAACTCAGCTATAATTGACTGATGCATCGCTCATCGTTACAAAAAGAGTACCAAAAAAAAAGGTGAAAACTATGGATGAAGTTACAGATAGTACCAAAAAGTACGTTGAAAAACATGGCTTTGGGTTTGTTGTGAAGTGTGTTATAAGTTTTATAATTAGGGTTTAAATACGTTTTGATAGGATAATAATTAATATTACCTAAAATAACATATACGCCAATTTATACAAATATTACCATTTTTACATTCTATTCAATAATATACACACTAATTTTAATAATATATTTTTAAAAAATCTTACCAATTTTCTTTATTAATTACATTATATATATATATATACCTTTTCTTAAAAAGCATAAATGAAAAATAAATAAATGATAAACGGTGAGTAGTTTTATGCTAGCCTTATTATATTTGTATCTATGGACTGACAGGGTTGACTCTTGAGTAATGAACCGGATCGGTCGAAGATTTTAAAATGAACCCGATCGATCGAAAAAGGGTTAAACCAATATTTACTTGCATTAAAATATGTCCAAGCTCAAACATTTACATAAAACCATTCCCAAAGTGAAGAAGTTGATCAACACAATCATAATTCCCATTACAAATCTGATCCTCAAACTTCATATGAGAATCCATCATGAACCCATTATTATTCTGAATCTCCGATCCCAAGCCCCCACCCTCCAAATGGGTTCCATTTAAATCACCGGTGCCCTCATGAACGGAGCTAAAGCTCTGACCAAACCCAGTTCCGGCGCCGGCGAGCCACTCGGCGAACAACAGCTTAGGCTTGGGAGACTCCATGGACTGAGCTGTAATTGAAGAATCTGCTGAGTCCGAGGTAGTTGAAGCTGTGGAATGAGCTGAACAACCTTGTTTTTCCACTCTCTTCTTCAGGTAAGAATGCCACAAGTTTTTCACTTCGTTATCCGTTCTTCCCGGTAAATGTTGCGCTATCTGAGACCATCTGGTATTGAAAACACAAAAATAAGACATCAATTATCATCTCAACGACCGACGTCGACAACCCAGTTCATTAATTTTCTTACTTGTTTCCGAGCATATGATGAAGGGAAATAATCGTGTCCTGTTCTTGCTGGGAAAAGGTCCCTCTTTTAAGACCCGGCCTTAGGTAATTGATCCATCTCAATCGACAGCTCTTCCCATTTCTTTCCAGCCCTATTGTAATATATAAAATTTTAATTTCAATTTCAAAAAATAATAATTAAAAAAAAAAAAAAAAAAAAAAAACTCACCGGCCTTGAGAGGAACAGAGCTCCAACAGGCATGGCCATGGTTGAGGATGAAGTTTCTGAGCCTCTGGTCTTCCTCCGGCGACCATAAGCCCTTTCTGTGCTTCGGGTTTGCCTTATGCGACGCCGTTTCACGTCCCATTATTTTGAATCTGGTGGGGCTTTGGGAACAATGAAGGTTTAGTATTTAAAGGAATTGCTTCTTGCTCTGTTACCAATATTAACAAAATTCTCAGCCAAAACTCACATTAAAATAAAATGAAATAAAATAAAATAAAAAGAATAAATTCCAATAATTATGGATTAAAATTTTAGTAGGCTTCCAAATGTCAAACTAAATCAATGATTTTGAGCCGTCCATCTTGGCGACTTTAGGTTTTAATAATACCAATTCTTTCTTTTACCCATTTTCTTAAATAATAAATAAATAAATTCATAAATATTATTTTTACCTACAAATTTCTATTCTATATATATATATTTATTTTAAAATTTAAAACTATACAAAATAAATGAATTCGAGTAAAATTTAGATGTTTTTCTAAGAGGTAGAAACTATAATAAATAAAAAAATTAAAACTATAATAAACACATTCTGAAAAATTATTTAAATTCTTTTAAATTTGCTATAAATTCATAAAAGAAGAATAACAATTTATTTATCGAAGTTTTATTATTCAAATAAAACCATTTTAAATCACCTTAATTAAAATGACGCATTTAATAAAACTTTAAAAATTAATTTCAACCTTAATTTAAATATGAAATGCATTTCATGTGGTAGGTAGTATCACATGAACATATTCACATATATATATATATATATATATATATATATAATGGGTTTTGTTCTCATCAAGGACTCAAAGACTTTTGATATTGACATATTATAAAAAGACCCAAATTTTAATTTGTTGATCACAATTATTGTCCCATCCTCTCATTTAAATACTTATTTTTGTACCTTATCTAAAGACCTTCAATTATTTTCAAATGTCCCATCCTCTATATATATATATATATAATATATATAATACACTTTGACATTAAGATGCATATATTAATTAATGTCAAGCCTAATGTTCTTTTTTTCTAAACTAAAGATTATCAAAAAGATTCTTTTCTTCTTGATATTTAATTGCACATTGGTTTATAATATTTTAATTTCCGACCCAATTAATATTTTTTTCAAAAGATAAAGGGTTTTTTAGTCTAAATTTTGGTTATTACAATTAATTACAGATATTTATGAGGCGAGAGACAGGTGTAGGGAACCCTCCTCCATTTCCGTCCCCATCCACCTCCTATCTCAACCTTGGAGATTGCTAGAAGGGATTTTCCGTGGAGAATTCATGGGAATCGAGCTCCCGTTTATAATTTTTACTTGGTGAGGTAAAATTATTTGATAAAGTTGAAAAATATGGTTGTTAGTTTTGTACATTAAAAGTTTAAGTTAACAGTATTTTTTTGTTTTTTTAAGGTCCAAAGTTCAAATCTATTTTTTAATATTATTATTATTTATTTTTGTAATGGTGATGGAAGCTATATTAAAATTACACGTGCCAAAATTTGGTTTACCAAATTATTTAAATATTGCTAAGAAACAATGAAATTAATACTTGATTTATATTGAATTGAAATTGTTTAAAGAATTTTGTTATTTTATTAATTTGTCGTTTCATGGAAAAAAGTCCATTCTGTCTGGACTTAATACTTGATTATTTAAATAATAATAATTTGGCCAATATACAAAAAAATTGATTTAAAATTAATATAGTTTTATTTTAATAAAATAAGGAAACATAATTATGAGTTAATTTGTAATTTTAAAATTTTATAAAGGAAAAATAAGTTTTTTTTTTTTTTTTTTTTT